GGAAAGGGAAGTTGTGCGTTTGCTAGTTCGCTGGGTCGGGCCGCGTGCGAACTTGGGAAAACCCACTTGGCTGAGGACCCGTGTGCTTGAGCAGGCCACCCCTGACTTCCTCCGCGAAACGCGCTTTTTGTGTGGTCGCCCTTATCGTGGTGGCACAACTGCGAGGCTAGGGCGAGTTTAGTTGCGGGTTTTAAGAATTACTGCGGATAAGCCAAGATTCAGCTATGAGTTAATTCCGGTTACTAAACAGTTACCTTGGAGCGGAGACTGCAAGGGTTGACCCCGGGGGTTGCAGTGACTGAAGGATACTCACTTCCTGGAATCCTCAGATGATATCTGCCCCTCGGGAAAAGATCTAGTGCAAGTTAAGAGATTCTGTGAACCTTTAGAAGGTTTCCCAGTCAGTCTTTTAGGCACGGGACACAGCTAATCTACACTGGAAGAGAGCTAAGAGCCTTAGTCCACTGGACAGGTGATTACTTTACCGTGCCCCCTACCTGTGTTCCCGCTAATTCCTGAATGCAGCAGTGGTTGATGTGTGTGGGTGCAGAAGCTCTGCTCTTTGATGTCAACACACGTGTGCACACACAGGTTCCCCAGTGCCTAGGAGGACAAAGCTTAAGTAAATCATGAGGGGAACTGATTGAATTCTGCATATGTACAGTGAAGCGGATAAGCAGTATTTATTACTGGAAAGAAAAAACCTGTGTATGTTTCAGATCCTTGGCAGGCCTAGAGTTTGCAGAGTGAGAACTGGGAAGTGGACCTCTGGAAGCATGAATACAGTAAGTGTCCATGGTCAATGCCATTGTCTTTTTCACTTTATACCTGTTTTCTCTGTGCTTGGCTTCACCTACATCAGTGTTGACTTCTGTTCTGATTTCCTTCTCCTTCCTAGTGGTGGTCAACAGAAGGAAACAGGTGAATGCCTGTTGGGCTTAGTGACTTGGGATGGAGGCCATGCTCCTTGGAGAACCCTCCTTAGAGGACGCATGGGCTCTTCTGTGGGCATTCTCTTTTCTTCTGAGCACCTGCTCAAAACAATTCAGAGTCAGCAACTTATTCCTCTGACTGCCCTTTGATTTTCAAGTCTCAAGACTAGAGGACATAAGTTGCAGAAATCATTGTTCTTACAGTTAGTTTTGCCCTGAATTGAGCTGCAGTGTTCCCTTATCCCTCACTGTCTTTGAGTGGTCTCACTCTGTCTGTGCCTGTGGGGTACAGCCACTGGCTGGACTCACCACCCCGCTTTGGGCCTCCACCTTTTCTGCCCTGGTCTTCCATGCCCTCTCCTTGCCCCAGTTTATAGTACCTGGGTCTTTTCTCATCCTGGAATGCCCCAAGTCATTTCCTTGCTAATTATTTATATATGTTTGATAGTTCAAATTCTGGAACTCACTACTAGGAATAAAATCAAATCTTTCCTGTTTCTGAAGCAAAGGGCACCCAGAGAGACAGTCACTTCCCTTTTGGGTGTTCATGGTTCTCTACCTTGCACCTGGGGCTGTGAGGCTCTGTAAGAAGGAGGGCTGGGGATATAGCTCAGTTGGCAGAGTGCTTGCCTTGCATGCACAAGGCCCTGGGTTCAATCCCCAGCAACACCAAAAAAAAAAAAAAAAAAAACCAGGGGCTGGGGATGGGGCTCAAGCAGCTGTGCGCCCGCCTGGCATGCGTGCCGCCCAGGTTCGAACCTCAGCACCACATACAAAGAAAGATGTTGTATCTGCCGAAAACTAAAAAAATAAATATTAAAAAAAAGAAGAAGAAGAAGAAGGTCCTGCCCTCAGATCATGGTGGTGGGGGGATCCACATTGGAGCAGGCCCTTTAGCCAGGTGCACCTCTTGTCCCAGCTTCTCAGGAAGCTGAGGCAGGAGGATCACTTGGGCCCCAGTAGTTGAAGGCCAGCCTGGGCAACATAGTGAAACCTTGTCTCAAATATAATGATAATAATTAATTCAGTAAGTGTTCTGATAAACTATCAGCAGGTGAAGGCAGGGGCGAGAGATGCTTAGTGTCTGAGAAGTGCTCTGGGAAGCCACTGGTAGGGAGGGACGTTTGGTCCAGTAGGCCTGGCCCATGAGGGTGCTTTCAGTGAACACTGCTGCCACCTGCTCCCTGGCCTGGGGTGGGAACGGCCCTCAGCCCTGGGCTTGCTCTCTTTTCCAGCTTTACCACCTTTGCAGGCTTTTCATCCAAAGCAGCCATGTGGCCATTATTGAGGCTCCCATTGTGTGTCTGTTCCTCTTGCCTGCCACAGAGCAGGATAGGGGTGTGTGTGGGATTTGGGGAGGGCTTCATTTGATTGCTATATCACAGAAGCCACGTGCCACATCCTGTAAATTAAAGGACATTTGAAGATTTCCAGCAGCTTTCAGCCACAGCTGCAAGTCAGGCCTGTCACTGGGGGGACTTCCCTGAGGAAAGAGTGGGTGGTGAGGGTGTGATATTAAGTTCAGGGGACCACAGAGAAAGCAGCAGGTCAGTCCATGCCCTGGTGTGTGACTAGAACATTTCTGGGCCAAGGACCGGCTGACCTTAACGTGGTCTGTTTGCTTGCTTTGGAATGCGCTTTGTTTCCAAGGTAGCCTTATCAGGGCTTCTGACCAGGTCTCCTCTCGTGGAAACAGCCCTGGCCCCAGGTTTCTGGCGTCTGACCCTTTGAGCTGTCATCTGCACGGGGCTGGTGCTCCCCTGAAGGTCGCCTGGCCTGGCTGGTGGTCTGTGTCTGCAGCACTGTGTGTCAGTGAGTGGTGCTGCTTTGACATGCCACCTGCACTCAGGGTGGACCGTGCGCCTGGTGTCTTCCAAAGAAAGACTGCTATCTCGGCTTGTGCCAGGCGGAGGGCCTCAGTCAGGGCGTCGAGAGCCCCTTGGTGTGTGTGGGGGGGGGGGGCTTCCTGAGGGCATATGCACACCCACTTGAAATAAGCGGACACTGGGTTCTGTTTATTTTGTTTTTTGGCACCAAGGATTAAATCTAGAGGTGCTTAATCACTGAGCCACATCCCCCAGTCCTTTTTTTTATTTTGAGACAGGGTCTCTCTGACTTGCTTAGGGCCTTTGATAACTTGCTGAAGCTGGCTTTGAACCTGTGATCTGCCCACCTCAGCCTCGAGTTGCTGGGATCACAGGTGGAGCCCTTACAACCGCCACCCTGACTCCATTGGACAGGTGCTTTTTGAGGGAAGTTGCAGATATCAGAACACTTCACCTGTGTATCCCTTTTCTGCCTGTTCCTTTCTTCTAAGAGACAAGAATGTCCTTTCTTGCAGTCCCGTCACCGAAGACATCCAGGAAAGGTAATGAAAAGCCTGGTGCCATCCAGCGCCCAGCACACAGCCAGCTTTTCCAGTTGTCCCCGCCTGTTCTTAGGTGGCTGTGTCCTGCCCACTCAAAGTCCATTCCTCCTCTGTGTACTCTGTGGGCTCTGTGACCTGAGTGTGGTCTGAGTTGTGCTGTGTTCGTTGGATTGCGCTGTCCTCCACAGCTGATGCAGGAGTTGGAGGGGATTTGGATCAGGGACAGCCCTGCAGTCAGCACAGAGCTTGTGTTGGTCCTCCCCAGGACCACTGGGCAGCAGTGTGCAGCCACACAGTGCTGTGGTTCCTCCTACCCTGATTACACTCCCTCGTCCTTAGCCACCTCAGAAGACAGGACATGAGCGGGTTCTTCCCTCAATTGCCAGTTCTGAGAAGCACTTGGTTGTGTCACATGATGCCACTGCAGCAGGGGTTGGTGGTTCCTTTTTCTGTGAATGTCAAGGCAGGCTGACACTTTGCTGTGATCTTTTAAAAGCCTGTCACTGTTGTGTGTGGCGCTCAAATTGTAAGCACGACCAGTGGGGAGTCCTGGTGAGCTGGTCCTGTCTTCTGCTGGGCATGTCTTCCTGATGCTTGCTTGTGGCCTGGTGTCCTGGCTCACTTCACTTTCTCTTTCACACTCCGGCCAGCCATGTCCTGAGTGCTTTGTTCCTTTTAGTTTTGTTTAATTTTGCAATGCTGAGGATTGACCAGGAGTTGCTTATGATGGGTGAGGACTCCACCATTGAGCCACGCCCCTAGCCCTGTTCATTACTGCTTGTAGTCCTTTTGGTGGACACAGCTAGGATATATATATATATATATATATATATATATATATATTATATGTATATATATGGAGCTACTTGACCACTGAGCCACATCCCAGCCCTATTTTGCATTTTATTTAGAGACAGGGTCTCATTGAGTTGCTTAGCGCCTTGCCATTGCTGAGGCTGACTTTGAACTCATCCTCCTGCTTCAGCCTCCCAAACTGCTGATATTACAGGCATGCATCATTACTTCCAACAGAAATATATCTTTAAAACATGAGTTTGGGCTGGGATGTAGCTCAGTGATAGAGCACTTGCCTAGGTTGTGCAAGGTGGAGGTTTTAATCCCCAGAACCAAAAAAAAAAAAAGCATCAAGAGTTTAATCCTAATTTAAAATTATACCAGGCATGGTTGCACACTTGGAATCCCAGTGGCTTGGGAGGCTGAGGCAGGAGGATCACAAGTTCAAAGCCAGCGTCAGCAACTTGGCTTCCTCTTGTCACGCACCCTGGATACTAATTCCCATTACGAGAGCTCACAGTAAAAAGGAGCTAGAGATGTGGCTCAGTGGTTAAGCACCCCTGGGTTCAGTCCCTAGTACCAAATAATAATTTAAAATTACATGGTTTTATTTCGTTTCTTTGATTCTTCAAATTTGCTCTTTATTTATAGTCTTAATTCTTAATATAGTTGGCCTTCTGTATCTGTAGCTTTTTCAGGTTCAACAAAGAATCAGAAATATTTGGAGAAAAGATTGTGGCATATTGAACATGTACAGATTTTTTTTCCTAATCATTGTAACAACTACTGCATAGGAATTACACTGTGTTAGGTGCTATGAGTGACCTAGAGATGACTTAAAGTATATGTGGGGCGTGTGCATGCAGATATTTTGGTATCTTGGGGGTGGGAGTGATGGTGTCCTAGAACCAGTTCCCAGAGGCTGATGGACAGCTGCCATGGGCATGATTTGTTTTATGCTGACGTAGATGTAAAATGGCAGTGGTGAAGTTAAAACATTACACTGCCACTAATAAAACTACTTAGTGATATTTTGGAAAGTCGTGATTTTTAAAGTCCTTTTATTTCTTAGTATATATTCCCCTTGGGACAAATGGTTGAAATACTGCATTTAAAAAGCCCCTTAACAAATATTCCTTTCTATGGTTATGTTGCCCATTTGATATACAATTAAGTTTGTTTTCAGATTTAGATTTTTTTTTACATCTTAATTTCATGTACAAAATTACATGGTCTAAAAGTCAGAACTATACAATCTACATTCAGAAAACCTGCCCTGCCAGGCACAAGGCTGCACGCCTGTGATCCCAGCAGCCCTGGAGGCTAAGGCAGGAGGATCACAGGTTTCAGACCAGTTGCAGCAACATAGTAAGACCGTGTCTCAATAAAAAAAAAAATTAAAAGGGCTGGGGATGTGGCTCAGTGGTTAAGTGCCTGGAGTTCAATCCCTAGTGCAAAAAAAACCCAACCAACCAACTCGCCCCAGTCCTTCCTTCCTAAGGATAGCCATTGTTAATCATGGGATCGGGGTGGTGGCTCAGCCGTAGAGCGCTCGCCTAGCACATGCAAGGCGCTGGGTTCTATGCTCAGCGCCACATAGAAATAAATGTATTGTGGGGCTGGGATGTGGCTCGAGCGGTAGCGCGCTCGCCTAGCATGCGTGCGGCCCGGGTTCGATCCTCAGCAGCAC